TTATGGGAATATGTATAATTGTGTAATTAGATACATCACTACGAAACAGACGCTTTAAATGAATGAATATATATAATTGTTTTATTGTATAATGTACTTTTTTTTGTTGTGTTTTGTTATATATGTTTTGTGCGTGTTTTATTTATTTGTTAATAAAGTTTATAAATTTTAAAAAAATATTTCAATTTAATTAACTTTCCACCTCTTATTTCCATTTCAATAGTTATTTTTCTCTTTTCTTAATATTTCAATTATTTCCTGATATTTTTACACATAAATCATTTATATATCTGCTGGTCTACTTACAACAATTTCCTACATCATTTATTTAACATTTCAATTTCATTTCTTACTTCAATTTCCTTTGTTTTTTCAATCTTTAGCACATATTTCTTTACTTTCATTTCAATTTTATGTCTTAATTTCAATTAAGTATTCCCTTTTACAGTAATCTATATATTTATTCCAATTTGTTTCTTACATACAACTTTTACTACTAATGCCATTCCCTTAAGTCAACATATCACTGCTTTAATTCCTTTCTACATTTTTTCTTTCCCCTTTTAACCATTTTCTTTTACGCTTTCTCCTCTTTCTCCCATTCACTTATTTCTTTCTTCCTCTTCTTCTTTTTGTGTTTATTATATCCTCCTTCCTGCATCTTTTCTCTAATTTTTAACTTTATTATTCTTTTAGTTCTCCCTCTTACTTTTCTCATTTCCTTCTCTTTTCTTCTTTTTTGAGAGATATTCCCCCCTTTCTATTTTTATTTTATCACTGTTAATCTCAGTGTGATCATCTATATTTTTTCTTTCAATTATTTTCTTCCCAACATTATATTCTTGCTTCTCATTTATCTTTTCTCTTTCTTTCTTTTTGTATTCTATCCAATCTTCCACTTCTTTGTTTCCCTTAAACGCTTCTCACACCTTTTGCAAATCTCCCTCAACTCCTCGTACTCATGTTCCCAATTTTCCATATTTACAATTTAAGAAGAAATAACTTTTAAATTTATTTTTATTTTCACTTATATATAGTTCGAATTCAAGTCCATTTAATGTCTTTTTTGTTTTCTTTCTTCTTTCCAAATAGTATCCAATACAAATAGTCCTTTAAGTCTCCCCAGTTCAAGGTTTTATTCTTTCAATTTCTTTTTGTAATCTTACTGCAGCTGTTTAAACAAATACTCCCCATATGGCTTCTCATGTTGATTTAAGTGCAACCAGCAGATAATTATCTTCAATCCACAAATCCCCAGGCAAAAGTATCAATTGTAAATCCACAAAAGTAGTGCTTCCTGTTCTTCAGCTAGTTCCTTTTGTTGTTAAACAAATGCTTTCTCTCAATTTCCTTTTCTTTATATTTATTCTTAATTTCTTCCAAGTCCAATTTAAATCTAGGTAGTTAGTTCTCCTTTTAGGGTTTTCATTTTTAAAGTTCCTCTTTATTTATTTTTTCCTTCGCTTTAAATTCCTGGATGTCAATTAACTGCTTATTTCAGGTTGGGACCTCTTTTAAAGTTAAATTTTTTTTTTCTTCTTACCTTTGAGTTGGTCAATCACTCATTCGGTAACAATACTCTGTTTCATCACCACTCCTCATTCTTTTCCCCTTATCTTGTGTGTGGCTACCCAATTTTTGACAGCTCCTAATGACTGTCTTCCCTTGCTGCTGGGTCAGAGGCTGGTGCAGACACTTCAGGGAATTTGCAACTTCCCTGTTCATGCCTGCCTGTGCTTCCTTTCTTCACAGTCCCTACAGGACAGCTATGATCCCTGGGGATCCCCTAAAGCAGCTTAGATATCAGCATTTTCCAGGAGTCCCGGAATTGGCTGTACCACCACTGGACAGTGATGGCTAACCTTTTTGCCATTGTGTGCCAGGAGCAGGGGGAGCGTGGGAAGGGGAGTTCATGTGCGTGCATGCCCACACCCATAATTCTATGCTCCCCCCGCACATGACCCTCCCTGCTCCTGGCACGTGATGGCCTGGTGGGCCCAGTAGGCCCGTTTTTCTCTCTTCCAAGAGGGTGAAAATGGCCTTCCCCATCCCCCCGGAGGCCCTCCAGAGGCCAGAAATGGCCCATTTGCCAACTTCCAGTGGGACCAGAAGGCCTATTTTTTGTTTTCCCCAGGCTCCAGAGCCTCTCTAGAAGCCTGGGGAGGGGGAGAACGGCCTTCCCCATCCCCCTGGAGGCCGAAAATGGCCTGTTTGCCAACTTCTGGTGGGGCCAGAAGTTGGCAAACAGGCCATTTTCGGCCTCCGGGGGGGGTGGGGAAGGCCGTTTTTGCCCTCCCCAGACTCCTAGAAAGGCTCTGGGGCTTGGGGAGAGAGAAAAACGGGCCTCCCCCCACCAGGCCCTCCGGAGGCAGGAAACAGCCTATTTCCCTACTTCTGGTGGGCCCAGCATGTGCTGGAGCTGAGCTTGTGTGCCTACCAATATGGCTATGTGTGCCACCTGTGGCAATGCCATAGGTTCGCCATCATGGATCTAGGAGCATAGGACTTATGCTACAGTAGGTGTTTTTTTCCATTGCTACACTGCAAGGAAATTGCAACTTTATATTTCTGCTTGGTATAAATATATATACTGAAATATAAAGATATTATTTTTTCAGGAATAATGGGACAACATTAGAGATCTGTTCCATAATATCATAATGTAGTTCTTTCGTGGCCTGAAACACAAACTTCTGTAAATAAAGCACACTTCCTTTCTTTTGGCATTGTTCCGAAATGTTATTCTCAGGCTTGAACAGAATCCAAATCAGTGGTGGGTTGCTCCTGGTTCGCACCAGTTCACAAGAACCGGTAGTAAAAATCTGTATCAGTTGGAGAACTGATAATACCATTGGATGGCCACGCCCTTGAACCAGTCCCTGGCCCAGTTGCCCCTCGCTTACCCCGCCCACCTCATCAGAGGCTTTTTTTTTTATTGTTAAAAGAATTTTTTCTACAACCTGTTCAGCTAAAAAAATGCTTTTAAAAGTAATTTTAAAAAGCCTCTGATAATCGTGCGGCTCAGCTGGGATCATTAGAGGCTTTTAAAAGCATTTTTTCTACAACCTCTTCAGCCAAAGAGGTTGAAGGGAAAAAAATGCCTTTAAAAGCCTCTGGCGATCCCAGCTGAATTGCCTGATCATCAGAGGCTTTTAAAAGCATTTTTTTCTGCAATCTCTTAAGGTTGTAGAAAAAATGCAAAAAAAAGTTGGCCAGCCCACCCAGTCACATTACCCCACCTCTTAGGATATGGTGTAAGTCTAACAAGTTGTCCAGGCAATATATGTGTTCTATAACTTTAAATGTATTCTGTAACAGGTGTAATGCTGAGTAATTGTACTGCTGACTCATTGTAATGACTAATGACTGCTGACTGACTGCTGAATGCAATTATCATAATTGTACTGTTGAGTCATTGCACTGCTGACTTCACTTATCTTAAGTGGATAATTACTAGTGTAAACTGTATATAAGAAGGAAGCCGAGCTATAGTCATTGTTGGACCTGCTCTCATCATTGCTTGACTTCCTCTTGACTGGAACTGTTGATTGGAACTGTTACTGTCGTGTGTGAAGAAGTGGATGGATCTGCTACCATCGTGATTTGTTACCAGCGTTGAATTGCTGTTTATTACCTACTGCTGTTTGGTAAGAAGATATCTGTAACTCTGGACTGATTTGAATGGCTAAAGACTTGGATTGACTAAAAGATTATGCAATTATTTTTCACTATAAAGTAAAAGCTTTGTTAAACCAGTTTGTATGTATTGTATTCATTGCTCTCAGTACCATTTCTCTGTGTACTTACTCTGCTGGTTGGTAACACAATATCCTTAACACCACCCACCAAGCCATGCCCACAAAATAAGCCACGCCCACAGAAACGGTAGTAAAAATTTTAGAATCCACCCTGACCCAAATCTAGCTGATGTTAATGACAGCAACTTAATATCCATAATAAATAAAACAGATTGTAGAATTAGCCTTTTTTGGCATAGAAATATGCTACAGGATAGCATGAAGACATTCATATGTTCTAAGCTCACTATCTCAATTAAAAGAGGTTTTAAAAAACTTAGCTAAGATGTTTGAGAACAGCTGCAGCTGCTATAGTCGGTTTAAGAGAACTGTAGTCTGATATAGAACTTAATATAAAGTGATTATGTTATTGTTAGGTGTCTCAAAAAAGAACTATCAGGATTACATTTCTGGTTTTTTGTTTTTAATATCCTCTTACCCCAGTGGTGGGTTGCTACTGGTTTGCCCCGGTTCGGGCAAACCAGTAGCAGCAGCAGCGGGAGGCTCTGCCCACCCAGCCAGACGTCATCAAATATAATCTGTGCATGCACAGAAGCGAGCGAACCAGTAGCAAAGGTAAGTGAAACCCACCCCTGCCTTATCCACCCTTCACATTATAGCAGCTTTCCCAATCTGTTCCCTGATGTGTTGGATAGCAATTCTGATCAATCTGAAGTCAAGCTGGAAGGTACATCAATTTTGGAAAGATTAGATTGGGAATTAGGGGACTCATGTCTGTTTAATAATTCCTACATAACTTTTCTTAGAAATAAGTGGGACATGATACTGTAGGCTTCTTACAGATGACGGTTTAGGATAGTGTGAAATTCATAATGAATTCAGAGCAGTCATTTCCTCTAAAGTATTCAGCTTAGCAAGAGAACATCTAACTCTTTACATATGTTTTATCTTGTCCTATGCAACACTAAAATTTATTTCCAAATATTCTAATGAGGAAGATTTTATTTTAAGAAATAAGGAGGATAACATCCTTATGTAAAATACTTTATTTTGTTTCAATCCAATTGTTTCTATTTTGTTTCAGTTCAATTACATGGTGAATGATTGTTATCATCTAAATAAGGCATGGCATGTAATGAACGTGATGATCTAAAATACTGCCTATACTTCATACCTTTTAGCATTTCTGATATCATTAGTTTCAAAATGGTGGCACAAAGTGCTAAACTGCATTTAACCTACCTCCAGAAGCAACTGAAATCCTTCTCTCTTCTTAATTTCATCCACTAAGTATCTGAAAAACAGAACAGTAATGTCTAGAGTTAATTTAATAATGTACAGATAGATGCAGATGTTCACATTTCAGGTTATTAGATGCATGTATAACTTCTTTCAACAACACACCAGAAACAACACACCAAATGTAGGTGAGGCTAAGTCTAGGTAGATAGAATCACTGTTTGTTTTATATATTTGTCCCTGTATATTTTAAAATTATTATTTATTAAATTGCCCATTTTTCTGAAAAGGCAATTCTAAGCAGTTTACAAATCATAAAAAGATGAATAAAAAACAATTAAAATGTTTAACACTATGCAAAAAAACAAAAAAACAACAACCCAGGAACCAAGAGACGGATGCTACAAGAATGAGGTCTTCTTATCAGCCACCTCCAGCAGTGAGTGCTGTCCTTGAGGTCCCAAGACAACTGGAAAAGCCAAGTTTTATACCCACAAACATACACAAATTTCAGCAACTGAATTAAAAGTGCCAAGTTTTACACAGTTCTCGTGACTTTTAACCCCTAATTCAGGAACTGGCTTACCCAGTATAAGATTTATTGACAAACTTTTGTAAGATTAACCTTTGCTGGGTTTCCAAGTGAGGTTCAATGATGAACTCAAGGTCCCTGAAAGAGCAAGGATAGCACTGCAGCAGAGATCAGTGGCCAGACAGCAAATTCTGATCAGTAGAGGCTCTCTCAGCTTACTCTGGCAACTGCAGGAATCATTGTTTGTGTGGTCAAATTCGAGCAGCTGGAAGCTGAGCTGCTCACAACTGCAATGCAGCCTGTCATAGACATGAAGTCTGTAAAAAAAACTTCACTTTCATAATCACTAATGGATATAATCAATTTAAAGTTAATGAGAGATTTTCAGATTGTCAGGATAAGGGAAAACCACTTGGTAAATCAATCATCTTTCTGGATAAAAGAAAACAAAAAAGAGCATTTTAAAGGAAATCCCCTACAGAAATGGGGATCACCCCAAAGATACTGCAGATAATGCTTGGAGTTATTGAGCAGGACAGTGTCTAAATTGGAGTGGTATTGATTTACCTTCTCTACTGGTTTGCAAATGTGAGTGTGCCCGTGTGCGCTTCGCTCGCAACACCTCTGCGCATGTGCAGGACCTTCTGCGCATGCAAAGAGCGTCAAAAATAGGATGTGATGACTTCTGGACAGGTGGGCAGACCCTTCTGCAGCCGTCGCTACCGGTTCACCCGAACTGGATAGAACCGGCTGAATACCATCACTGGTCTAAATCAGTTAATACTAAGTGGGCAACTTTTGAAGAGAGAATGGAAGAAAGAAATCTAAAGATGAAAGAGGAAATGGAAGTAATTAAGAAGATTGAAGAATCTGTTAAACAAAGTATTGGAGAGGTAAAACAAATTAATGATAAAGTGGACATTTTGAAAGCAAGCAGAAGTTATAAGCAGATGAAAAAAGTTTTAAATAATTTGGTATTAATATAATTTAGGGAGAAAGAACTCTGCTTGAGAGCTAGAGTGAATCCAGAGGATTCTGATAAAAATATTAGGGTAAATTTATCATTTTTTTTAGAATGGTATGAGAGACACAGAGGCTGAAATCAAGAAAAAATATAGAAAAAATATGCAAAGTTAAAAAAGTTCCAATAAATATAGTTGCACACTTTGTTAGAAAAAAGCCTAGAGACCAAGCAGCATTTTAATACTAGACTGAAAATGGATCATACCAATGCAATTGTGCTGAAATAAATCCCAGTTAGAATACTGAAACCAGAACTTTTCTTTCTCGGACTGATAGTTAAACACGTAATAAAGAGCCATGCAATGCCACTTTTATATACAATGATGGAAAGATCTGGCAATACCTACAAGCAGTGGTGGGATTCTGGGGGTTCTAGGGGGTTCGGCCGAACCCTTTGTTAAATTGCTGGCTCGCCCCACCCCTTGCCCCGCCCCTCCGCACTACTATTTATTGCCAATAAATGGGGCGAGCGAGCCAGCAATTTAACAAACGGTTCGGTGTTTTTTTGTAATTTTATTGGCCCGCGGAGCTTCAGCATAGGCTAATTAGCCCTTGCTTAGATCGGCTCCCGAGTCTCAGCTGATTTGTCTCAGCTGTTTTGCTCAGGGCTCTGCTGCTTGCTGGAGCAATTTTTTTTCCCCCTAGCTATCCTGAAAAACGAAACTGAAACTGCTTTGCTGTTGCTGCAACATTGGATAATTAGGCAGGCAGATTTCTTTTCTTTTTCCTCACCAAAAAAGGTAGGTGCAAACAATGGGAAATTTAGGGAAAAAGAGGAGAGTTCAAGATTTTAAAACACAAAAGAAAAAAAGCTCTATTTAACTAGGGAATTGTAATAATTGAGATACTATTAATTGTATATTTCTGAAAGCAGAAATGGTTAAGTTGTGGTTTGGAGGAATATATGGGGGAAATTATTTGGTTTATTATTATTGGTAAATATAATTAATTGATTTGTAAGAAATTGGATTGCATGGAAATAATTGGAATATTCATGTTCATATTGATTAATATACAAAAAAGGTAGTTATATAACTAATTGATTTATATTAAAATGTTGAATTTATATTAAACAACTAAGATTACATAATTAACCAATGTGAGGATGGATATAAAAATAGATGACAATGGGAAGGGGTATAATATAGAATAGAAGGGAAAAATTGAATTTGATTAAGATTAGAGATGAGGATGAAGGGTAATATTGGTTTTTTACAAAAATAGATGAGGAATAAATATGGCAAAAAGGAAATATAGAAATTGTAAATTTAATTGAAATGACTAAACACTGTTTAAATTTGTGAACCGGCCAAATACTCTGTTCAAAGAAAATACATTGTATGTTTGTATGTGTGTTTCTAATTATTGTTATTTATTCATATTTGTTCTCTTTTATTCTTTAAAGTTTAACAATTCATTCTTTTATCTTAATATCTTTATATTTGTTTGGGATTGGCTTTCTTCCCTTTTATCTTTTTTATTGTACAGCAATCTTTCTCCTCAAACCTACCACCTCTCTCTTTTCTTTCCTTCTTACTTTCTCTTCCTCCCCCTCTTCTTCTCCTCCCTACTTCCTCTTCCTTTCTCCTTCTCCTCCTCTCTTCCTCCCTCTCTTACCCTCCCTCCTACTCCAATTTCCCTTCCCTTCCTTCATCCCTCTCTATTGCTGTATCCTTTTATGCATATGGACTACTCAGAGGGCTGAAAAAGTTATTTCTGACTGGTCCTCGCACTTTTGACCAGTCCTCGAACTTACGATTGTCCTCACATTTTACGTTTTTGCCCTATCTTGTCACCATGGTGAAGAGAAGCAGTTGTGAAAGAGTGACATGGTTGTTAAGAATGCTACAATGGGCATAAATGATGACAGTCAGTCAACATAAGTGCGAGACCGGTCAAAAGTGCGAGGACCTGTCAGAAATCACTTTTTTCAGCCCTCTGGGTAGTCCTTTTGTGCATATGGGCTACTCAGAGGGCTGAAAAAGTTATTTTTGACTGGTCCTCGCACTTTTGACCAGTCCTCGAACTTACGACTGTCCTCACATTTTATGTTTTTGCCCTATCTTGTCACCAATGGTGAAGAGAAGCAGTTGTGAAATGAGTGACATGGTTGTTAAGAAAGCTGCATGGGCATAAATGTGAGGATGGTCATAAGTGTGAGGACCGGTCAAAAGTGCGAGGCCCAGTCAGAAATGACTTTTTTTCAGCCCTCTGAGTAGTACCTATGCACATAGCCACGCCCACCCGGTCACATGACCAGCTAGCCACGCCTACAGTCACATGACCAGCTAGGCATGCCTACACAGTCATGTGACCAGCTAGCCACGCCCACCCAGCCACATGATTGCCAAGCCACACCCCCAACTAAGCCACGCCCACAGAACCTGTTGTTAAAAAAATTGAATCCCACCACTGCCTACAAGGTAGGGGGGAATGCTTGATAAAAATGACAGAAATAGCTGAAATGGCTATCTACATTTATTGATGAAGGGACTTATGGACATTTGAATAAAATAGAAAAAACTTATGATTTATGATTTTGATGATTAGATAGAATAATTATAGAAAGAAGAAACTTGTGGCACAACTTTACACAGAGAGGTTAAAATATACCATAATTGTACTTATAAATGCTCTGAAAAAGACCAGAAGCCACATTTTTATATTTTTATTTATTTATTTCTATTCTTATATACTTTTTTCTTTCTATGCTTTTAACCTTTTGTTTTTTTACGCCTTTTCATTGTATTTTAGTTTGTATTAGTTCTTACTGTTGTTGTTAAAACTCTCAGTAAAAATTATAGAATAAAATAGAATAACAGAGTTGGAAGGGACCTTGAAGGTCCTATACCATTTCAGACAAAGGTTGTCCAATCTCTTCTTAAAAACTTCCAATGTTGGAGAATTCACAACTTCTGCAGGCAAGTTGTTCCACTGGTTAATTGTTCTAACTGTCAGGAAATCTCTCCTTAGTTCTAGGTTGCCTCTCTCCTTGATTAGCTTCCACCTATTGCTTCTTGTCCTGCCCTCAGGTTCTTTGGAGAATAGCTTTACTCCCTCTTCTTTGTGGCAGCCCATGAGATATTGGAACACTGCTATCATGTCTCCCCTAGTCCTTCTCTTCATTAAACATATATAAAGAATTCTGCCTTATAATACACAAGAACCAAACTCCTACAAACATGTGTACTCCAGAGTTTCAATGTGTGGCTTTTTCTTTCCACATTTTGAATCAATGAATATTTAGCTAGTCTCTTGATAGATTTGCAAGGGATATAATCTATGTGGACATAAAAAAACCCACCTCTCTCTAGCTTGGGAACCACTGGTTTCTGCCTCACCAGCTGCATTTCTTACAGGCATGGAAGCCAGGAAGAATGATCAGGGGCTTGGCAAAGAAGCAAAGGCAATGGAGATAATTGAAAACCCTGGTGAGCAGGATAGAAAGATCATTAGCAATTGGGAGAAATGGAAAAAAACAGCAGAAAATCAGAGAAATG